GGCTACGGAGCAGCGTGGGTAACTGCAGAAAAAGAACGAAGTGTTATGTGTTGGGGGGGGGGGGGGGGGGGGAGTAAACAAGATAGTGTAGGGAAATGTGACGGTGACGAATGCTCCGAAAAAAAACCCTCAGGTAATAGCTGCTGACAAACAACAGCTACCATTTTTTAATTTCAATATTATTTCACGTACAGTAAACAAAGGCGAACTGTAAAATTTATACGCGCCTTGTGGTTTGACTGGACAAAATTATTTCGAGCCTTGTTGTTAAGACTCTATAAATCTCGACAAGCCCGTACGTACGATGTTGACAAGTCTTGTCAATAAACTACATAAGTTGTCTCCTACGCAACCGCACTGATTTGTCTCGTCACGCAATGCTCTAGCCTTCCATGCAGACGTTGCGTGACGAAACAAAAATGGCTGCGAGAAGCGAAATGAGGAGTCTGCGAATGGAGAGAAACTTCTCTCTTTCTTCCCACCTCGCAACTCAAATCCAAAATCTCCCCTCTCCTAACCCCTAAATATAAAGAAGGTCTGGTACCCAAGTTACGGCTGCGAGAAAAACTACTCCCACAACGACCACCTTAAAATGGGGACAGAGGTGGGTTGCAATTGTATAGAGTAGTAGCCTTTGTTGGAGTAGCCTGCGAGAGCAGACGCTTTTTTCGGCTCTTGTTTCACGTTGCCTATGTCACTTTCGCAAATAATTGTGGTCCTTCATTTCCGCAGACATTTTAACAAGCTCAATTTCATTTTATTTTTATCATAAATAATTAAAAACAAAGGCAAAGAACTTACCATATAGCGCTCGATCGACTTTGGGGGGATGTGTTCACGGTCCATTTTATGCATTTTAAAAATCACCAACCCAACTTTCTTATCCTCTCCTTCTTACTTGTACAGAGCTTCTCGTAAACTTTTCCTTTGGAAAACCAGTGAGTCTTGTTGCGCCTGGCGGTAGCAACTGAAATGTTTCCGACATTCCTTCCACATTAAGCATTATTCAAGTCGCCAAGGGCACTTCTCGTACCGGTTGCGTCTTATTCTTCTTGTAAACATCTCCTGCAGAGGCTTCCGCCAGCTCAATCCCGTCCGAAATATAAAGCTGCATGGCGCTCAGTTTCAAAACTGCGCGCCATGTTGGACCACTCCAGAAAATACCATAACATACCATAATGTTCTTTGTTTGTCACCCCAAAATTTTGCATAGGTTTCTCTTGGGAGTTAAAATGGCCCCAAGAGAAACTGAAAACAATGCTTTTGCAAAATTTTGGGGTGACAAACGAAGAACATTATGGTATGTTATGGTATTTTCTGGAGTGGTCAATTTCAACCTCCTTCCCAGGGTCCTTTCTCTTTGCCATTAAATCCTGGGAATGAGAGACGAATCCACAAAAATGGTTAAGTTTAACGCCGGATCAAGCCAAATTTTAAGCAAGGTTTTCTTCTCTAAGAACATGTCACTTGAGCTTACAAAATATTGTTGTGTCTTTACTTCGAAATTCAGTGATGATAACACAGAATGTTACTCTAGCCAATGCATAGGAAGGTAAATACAAAATTACAAATTGGATTAGCGCTAATCGACCTTTCAGGAACCGGGGCCAGCTGGAGCCAGCTCCTGAAAGGCCGATTAGCACTAACCAGGATTAAATTTTGGTCCATTTTTGAATTTTACCTTCCTGTTTATTGCTAAGAGTAACACTTTGTGCTATCATTACTGTATCTCGGAATAAAGGCTCAACAGTACTTTGTAAGCTCGATTTGCAAGTTCTTAGAGAAGAAAATCAAAATTAACCATCTTTTGAGGAACCGGGCCCTGATCAATACAGCACATAAACATCGCACGTACGCATCATTCTCTCTTGACGTAAGTAAGTAGCATTGTCCAGGCTAGATTTTTTCAATACAAAGCTGCGAAATTTGAGCAGCTACTAGAAACGGGAGGAAACTGGGGAGAGAAAGGGCGGCTCTCTCCATTCTCTATTTTCCAATTCCCCATAATACACTCTGTTTGCCCCCCAAATTTTGCATAAACCATTGTTTTCAAATGCTCCTGGGAGTATTGCATTTTCCCAAGAGCATTTCAAGACAATAAGTTATGCAAAATTTGGGGGCAGACAGAGTGTATTATGGGGAATTGGAAAATAGTCAATTCCGTTTCCTTTTTTTCCCGCCCCGTCAAATTTTCGCGTGCCTTTTACTTTCGCGTCTTCCCCACTATCTGAGAGCCTGGAACAGGCTACGCAGCTACCTTCTGTACTAGCCCTCAGCAAAATAAGAGACTAATCCAAGTCAAAATAAAGCTCTTCATAGTGGATAAACGATTGATTTTGTTAACGTTTATTTTCACATGGGCAAATGATTCCCCTTTTTTTCATTTTTCATGGTCCTTCCCGGAAGGGGGGGAGGAGCACGGGCTCATTTCCCGAACAGCGGCTGGTAATCGAGCCAAATGAATATCGTGATCGATATTTTGACCAAAAGTGTAGAAAAGCGCACAAACTTCAAGACACAGTTCACTAAGTACACAAAATACAGACTACAACTTATAAATATAGACGGAGGCAGTTTCTGAACAATAGTTATCTTTGCTAGTCCTTTGGATTGCTCACTAAATTCCAGACCCTGTGACATATGAACTTAACCCCTAGAGCACCTTAACATTAAAACCATTCGCATTAAAATATCTTTTGATTGCACACTTTTACAAACGGACCTCCCAACGAAAAAATTTACAACCACTTTTAGACTTCTTTTTATCAGCGTTTGCACCAGAAGTTGTTCTCCCGTGACTAGAGCATGTAAAGAAAGCTCTTCCCTGATTAGGACCCGGATTGATGACTGCTCTGCGCCGAGAACGACGCCCACAATGACACAGGGGTGGGGTAATACCACCTCCATTGAAGCAAGCCACAGGGGTAGTAACGGGGGAGTTCATGTTCCTATTAAGGGGTGGGTTGAAAAAAGGAAATTTTCGTATTGGAGTAGTACATGGTTTGTTCAAGTATATTGAACTGGGAGTGGTTACAACAGTCGCTGCTTTTGCCATTGGTTTGCTTATAGCTGTTATTCCAATGTTATTCGAAGCTACTGCTATAGATTTATTGTTTTTTAGTCCTTCTACCAGATGTCTTTCTTCGATTAAGCTTTGGTTTGTTGGTAACCTGAACAGGGGCGTTTTCACACTCCGAGGTTCAATATTTGATGCCTTGCATGGTTGGTTACAGGCAGTGTAATCCTTTTGTCCCGTTCCAGGTAATACTCGCTGATTATGGCTTCTCAAAGGTGTATGCTGATGGTAGCTCAGTGTCTGTTTAGCAAGACCTCTTTTCACAAGAAACCCTTGTGTTGAGCAGCTCTGCAGTTCACTCTTAAACAAACCATCACAGCATCCTCTTGCTCTTTTGTTCAGACTTGTTAAGCACGTGGCAGGAGTTATAAGAGACTTGGGAGTGTTTTTTGGTGTGGCACAGACCCCATCGCAATTCACAACAGGAATGCCTTCACAAACAGAACTTACCGATGCTCTCCTTTTATTTCGGCCATTTGCTTCACTGTTATTCCCACTCTTCACAGCTCCCCAGCTTTTTTCCCTTAGATTTGTCATTTTATTTTCAGGAAACTGGTCAGCTCTGGCACCTGTCAGTTCCCTTTTTACAGTGATGCTCTGTCGTGTGCCATGTACATGTACATCATGACACTCTTCTTGAACCTTACCAAAGCTTAAGATTTCGTTTACACTTATCTCTTCAGTGCAGCTTTTAGACGGTTTATCGTGATGATTTGTCAATCTATTTCCAGGAATCTGGACAGATCTGGGCTCTTTTATCTCGCTTTTCACAGTGGTCTCCTGTCTTGTGCCATTTCTGTATTGATTCTGCGCTTGAAAATCACCAAAGTTTAAACTTTTGTTTACACTTGTTTCATCGGTACAGTTTTTAGACGGTCTAGCGTGATATTTGTTATGAAGAACGTGCATATCTTCAGACATCAAATTACTCTGGTTACTGGTATGGAATGCCCCAGTACCGTTTGCTTTCAAATTTTTTGGGGAAAGACCAGGTTTCATAGCCACAATGTTCCAAAGTTTTTCCACTGCCTAGAACAACAAAATTAATAAAGTCTTAAGATTATGTTTGAGAAATAAGCAATCTAAGAGATTTAATTAGCGGAATGATGCATAGAGAAAGAGTTAACTCGCTACTGCTTGGCGTTCCATGCAGATCTTCTTAACGCGTGACGAACCCCTAAGAACGTCTGTGTGGGAGTAGTGTCATTTTTCTTCCCCGTTTATAATAAATTGCTTGGGACGAGCCCGTTCAAGATTACGTATGAAGCAAGGATCAGTGGCTATAATAGGTCATTTCTAAAAAAAATGACAGTTCTTTTTTATCTTTGTAAGAGAAAAAACACGGAACACTAGTCTTAATTTTTTTTTTCGAAAATTTTCACTTTTAAGCTAGGTTGGTGAGGACAGCACAACAATTAAACAAATACTCATCATAAATTAATTTTATTGTTCACCATAGATTATATCATATTAACTACATTTTTGAAAAACTTTGGTCAGTGTAATTAATAAACGGGGGGCAGTCTATTGTAACAATGCAACAAACTCTGCTTTGCTCAGATACCACTTATGTTTATCTTTTCGATTACTAACTTGCTCCGCATTGTTTGCAAAAATGTTTACTATCCTGTACACTTCGGTGCAATCTTCGAGAATCAACTTTGACCATTCGGTGAGTTACATACGGACTGATTCCCTTTTGTTATTGTCTATTGTACACATAATAATGGTACCTCATTTCTTCTATAAGATATATATTTTTGATTTATAATAATTACTGCAAGTAATACATGTATAATAATACACATGTAACTAATTTTCTAATAACTTAGCCAAAATGTCATTCCTTTTTAGCAAAGGAGCAATTATTATTTTGTCTTATTTTTTTAGCTCTATGTTCTAGGTATATTCACCCCATCAGTGCTTTTTGTTATCTGCATGATGCATCCATCAGACACCATCCTCCATGCTAAGCGAGCTGTGTTTCGAGCATCNATACCTGGAGAAAAACCTCTTGGAGAGAACTAACAACAAACTCAACCCACATTATGGTGTTAATGTTGGGATTAGAACCCAAGCCACATTGGTTAGGCTCAGTCTCCAATTATTATATCAAGACTAGTTTATCCTAAGTTGAGGAGACCTGACTCATTATGAGCCTCGTGGTTTCTTTCAGGTCTCCTTGCCATTTACTTTTTCTTTAATCCCATATCATTTCCATCTTGCATTGTAAAATTTTGTATATATGGCAAATAAAGAATGAATGAATGAATGGGTGTCTCCCCCGTGGGTGCATCGAGACACCTAAGGCTGGAGACTGAGCCTACACATTGGTGGGAGGTGGGTGCTCTCACCACTGCACCACCGGCTTGCTCCCTATTGTCCATTTGTTGGACAAACCAACAAATGCAGGACAACTGTATTTTTCTATTTTAATTATTTTGTTTCCCTTATTAGACCATTTCCAGTGTAGTTTCTTTCACATCTCAATGAAAAAGTGTAATCAGAAAGCAACCAAAACCTGTTTTTTTTTTTAAAGAATAATTAATAGTACCTGAATGTTCTCTACCAGCAAATTGAATCCCAAGGTCTTGAAGAGCCCCTGCTAGTCCTTGAGGCTTACGACTGTAAAAGTTCTGTAGAATCAATAAGGTAAAACCAAATTTCATTTAAAGAGAAAAATGTTGCTCTTACAATTTCTTTTAGCTTAAATGATTATAGCAAACCAAAGAAAATTTGCCTCACTGCAAGTAGAGAAAGAATGTTTTGTGCAGTCTAGGATGGACTCATTAAGATTAGATGTCCTGCGCCAAATGCATTATTCCTTGCAATTACAGGGTGACTAATATAAGACCGGCTAGAAATTTGGTTAATTGCTACTCCTTTCTCAGTATTCATAGACTGAAAAGAACAGTGTTCTCCATCTTGCTGTGATTTACTATTGTTAAGTATTTATATGGAGTACAATATGTGTACATGTTTATACCATAAACGGTTTCGTTTATCGTTTGACTCATGATAGTTACTTTCGACATTGATTGTGCCATTTTGACTACATACTGCAGGTTTTTATCAGGCGATATTGTTGATTTACTCAGTAGGACTATTTGTAGCACTGTGCAATGTAGGCGATTATTGCATAAATACTTTAAAGTTTTTTTTCAAGATATATTGCTAGCTGTCATACACTAGCTGGCTAACCAGTCACAAAACTCCTACTAGAGCACTTTATAGCAGGATAATTTGTCACTCTTACTTTTATTTAATCTAGGGACAAAAATAATCTTACAAGGTCTTAACATTCAGCCCTCCTGCACTTTTAGTAAGTCAACAGAACAAGCTCTCATGAGAAGACTGGAGGAAGCAATTTTCTAGTTTTCTCACTCCTAATTTTATAATATTATTTTAACTTGAATGTAAGCTGAGGTAAAATGGTCCCGGTCCCCTGTACAACCATCTTAAGGTACTACTAGCAGTGAACTTGTCCCTTAGGCACCATTGCACTATACAAACCTTGTATGTTGCTCGCAGGTCAATCCAGCTTCTTAGGGGATGTGGCACTCTTAACTGCTTTCTGTAGCATTCATTCTTGAGACAAGTTCCCAAGTCCCAATCTTCATCATTGAACATATATTGATTTTAAAGGAAACAAAAACAGAGATCTAAGTGACTCAATAGTCAAAAATATGCAATATTGCTTTTTTTCAAATTTTGTAGTTGACTGTCTGAAATGCTTTTTCTAGTTATTTTATACTAAACTATAAAAGTTTCCCTGAAGATGAGAAAGTTTATTTTTATTACAATAAAAATATTATTGACTCCCCCTTCTCTTTATTCCTACATCTCTATCAGTGAACCAGCGGTTTCAATAAAATTGGAAGTAGCCAGCTGGCTTTAAAAAAGTGACTGACTGTATCAAAACTTAGGCTTTTACGCCCCTTCTTCCAGAGAGGTCTGGGGGCGTGCACCCCTGAAAAAATTTCGAAATTTCAATACCTTAAAATGCGATTTCAAGCATTCTGGGCACTAGATTAAGTGCAAAAGAGAATGTATTTTCGATCAATTTGGAGAAGTAATGCACAGGAAGTCCCAACTTTTCTTTAACATGATTTTAAATCTGAAGCAAAAGGCCTGTCTAGGTCCAGCAAATTAAATTTAAATTTAAGTTTTGAAAGAATCTATCTTTAATTTTATACTTTATTTCCAGCTTCCAATTAAGGGGAAAAAGGTAGCAGACTCCTCTAAGCAAAGTAGCCGACGTGTTTCGTTGGTCGTCAGTGATTATTGAAACCCCTGGTGAACTATCAATTATTTCATAACATGCACATTGAAATTGCCCTTTAGGAGGAGAAAACTGGGATTGAACTGGTTTGATAGCAGATAATTCAATCAAATACCTGACCATGTCACAAATGTGCACCATTTTGTCAAATCCTCTGTGGGCTTATTTTCATCTTTGTTTAACATCTGATCACAGGGAAATTTGAAGCCTTTTTTCTCTCTCATCTCCTGTAACCAGCATCCAAACAACATGAGACATGTCCCAACTGGAACTCCTTCATTCACTTGAGTCTGCAGAACATAAAAGAATCAGTTAAAAAACCCTTAATCTAAGCACCTCACCCATACGTGGGGTTTAATCACTATTTTGTCTTATTCAGGTGGGTGCTTATTAACTATTTTTAGCTTAAAGTACCAGGGGTGCTAAATTGAAGAGTGGGTAATAATCTAATTTGGAGGTGGACGCTAATTCAAGCATTATAACTATGGCCCATAACTCCTGACTGAATGTGCAACAGGATCAAAGGGAAACTAAAAATGTAGGCCACTGTACCTGAGTGATACCTGTTAGCTCTGTACAGAACTCACTTAGTCTTGCATGCTCACTTGGTTGTACAAACATGTGAAATTCTGATTCCATCTCACCAGTTGAAGTATTTAGAAGCACAGCAGGAAATTCAACTGCTCAAAACAAAACAAAACAGATGACAAACATATTAAGGTGATTCCCTGGTTTTGCACTGCGCATCTCTTACTGTGCATAACAAGATGGCTGCCGTAAAAAAGAGCATGTGAAGTAACATTATTAAAATGAAGCTGACTGAAGAGAAATGCCATTGGAATTTTTGCTTGCGGTTGTTTCTTGCCGAGGTGAAACTCAGTGAGTAATGGGAATGTGCACAACATAGGCAGTATGCCTTTTGCTGAGTTTGACTTCCTCACGGAGAACCTCGATAGTGCATGTTTAACTTGTGCTTACTCACTTTGATTTTTATTTGAACGCTTTCTTTATCACAGTGTATCCTAAATGTGATATCTTGATGTAAATTCTGTAAAAACAGATTTTTTAATACTTTCTTCCCCCTTTCACATACATTCTATTTTGAAACTCGCCCCAGTCCTCTCTCAAAACTCGGAGAAAATGCATTTGGTACACACTTTCTGCAGCTCTACCACAAAAACAAGTACGGTGACCCCCATTTTTTATTTCATGATTTTAATAGGGACAGTGCTTCCTTTCGATGAGAAAAAAATTTACACAAATCTATGTTCAGTTTTTTGGCAATTTTACTAAATTGTACGGATTGAGCATATCACAGGTCGAATAGCGCGTGTCCAATTCAATTCTACTTTGGAGCGTAAAATAAAAACAGGAGCATTAAAAGATATTTTTCTGGTATGTAAGTGGATAAACAATACAATAAAGTCAAATTCTGTGCGATACCACATGCATCATCAAAAAAATCTCTCGTTTTTATCTAGTCTTTTACTGGGGAATCACCTTAAGGAAAACAATAAGGTGCATTAGGTAACAGATCCTAAGTAACACATTAGGGCCATTTATACGAGGAAATATAATATGCGTCCTGACGCGTCTTAAATAAGACACGAACTTTCCGTATAAACGGCACATTTTATCTAAAATAAGATGCGGCTTAGCTAAGACGCGTCTTATAAATGACCTTCGTGTCTTACATAAGATGCAAACGCATAGTACGCATGCATTAATTTTTGGTGCGCCACGTTGGATTGCCGTTGCTATGGGCAACATTCACATGAAAACGAGTTAAGAACAGAAATAAGGCACGAACCATTTATATGAGCTGTTCTCGTCTTAGATAAGACATGCTGGTATAAATGGTACAGTTCACTTCTTATTTAAGACACGTCTTATGCAAGACGCATCTTATTTTTCTTTGTACAAATGGCGCTATTGTCATCTCATCTTACATGTAACTCTTCCTTTGTTTAACAAGCAAACCAGTGGGTGAGGATGGGGAGAAGGGAGTCCAGGACAATAGGGGGCAGGAGGGGTACAGAAGGCGGGAGAGGAAAGAGTGGGACATGAGAGTTCTAAAAGGGGAGGAAGTGGGAGAAATTACTCAATAATTGCAATCAAAAAAGGACTGACGGGGGAAGCCAAGAAAAAAGGGGTGGGAGCTGTTAATGCAGGGTACTGGAGTCAGAAGGTTTGGACCCTCCTAAAACTCCCCCCCACCCACCCACCAGGGAGGCATGGAAGATGTCCAAGCTACAACCAGTTACAAAAATGATGAGACACTCCCACGGGAAAACGACCTTTCTTGCTTCAAATCGCTCCTGGTCACAGGTCTGTAAAATATAATACTGACCTCCCTCCTCCCTCCAATTCAAAGTTGTTTGAGTATGGTCTTGTATTGCTAGCAACTTTGATAAGGGGTGGAGGGGGCATCACAAGCACAAAATCATGGGCAGGCCATTTATGCCAAAATACGGTACAGTGTCTCAAGTACTTTTGCAACTGGTTGTAGCAATCATATAGCACCAGAAAGTGTCAACAGTGAACAAAAAGGGAATTCCTCATTAATTTTGATTAAGAGAACAGTGTATGCACTACACCTAAAGTCCCGACTCGCTCTATTAATATAGAGCTAGTGTTCAAATTGTCAGTTTTTCAATCTTTTCTGGTAATATATTCAGTGAGGTTATCAACTTTACTCAGTTGTTAGCATAAAGTCACCAGAAATACTTTTTTTGCTTATCAAGGCTTAAAAAACGAGATACATTACTCACTTGTCAGACTTCTTGTCTCATCATAGCACATTAGACATACAATACAAATAAATTGCGTTGTTATGTCTTATGGCTTCAAGAGCAAGATATATTTCACACACTCCTTTATTCATTTTTATTTCTCTGTGTATTGCACCTGATAAAATTTTGGGTGACATAACTATATATTTCAGGTAACATGACTAGTTTCAGGTGACACAGTATCTTCAGGCCAGGTGACTTTCGGTCATTAGACCTTGTCATGGATTTCGACGGTGTTTGTATGAGAATCTAATGTTGAATAATTTCCGTAAAACGGCTGTTCTGGAAAAAATATGAATTGTTAACTAAAGCTACAAAGCAAAGGATTGTACTGAAAAATTTACGGGGCATACCTGTCCTAAAATTTCCCTAGAGACTTGCTTTAGATTTTCCATATATTTGTCTCTAATTTTACCCGGGACAAATGTACAGAAAAATTACAGACAAATGTATAAAAAATTTTAAAAAGTGGTTCTAGGTCTTCTAGCGCATGTAACGCCCTCATTTTTTTTAGTACAATCCTTAAGAATGAAGCTTTAGTTTACAATTGATATTTTTTTCAGAACAGCCGTTCTATGGGAATTACTCAACATTGTGTAGTTCCAGAAAATATCCAGACCCCCACCACGGAGGGAATTTCACTTAGGACCCCCCCACCTCCCTGGATTTTCCATTTTTGCAGGGAACTGATGACCCCCCACCCCTTCGGAATTTCCACAAGTGTGACAAAGACCCCCCAACCCCTCTGGAAAAGTTCATTTTCACGAAGAAAGACTATTAAAGTAGAAGAATGAGGCAACTTATGGTTAGTACCCAACGGTTTCCATCAGAAGCTTGTATGCTTCTGTTTCCATTTATTTGAGTGATCTTGCAACATTAAAACACACTACACCACCACAAAGTAACCTGATCTGTAATTGTTGCTCATCTCTTACTTTAAATGAAAGAGAGAAAGTTAATAAGTCGATTATATTTGTGAATTTACCTTAATCAGGGCAAGCTTACGATTTATTATTCGTCTCATGGGCGTAATGTTGATAGAATTAACGCTATTTCGTGCGGGAATGCAGAACAAGTCAAACTTACGACCACAAAATTAATGCAAAACAAAGAGGAGAATAAAAACTCTGAATTCTGAAATAATAACAATGAATACCCCCTGCATCTTGAAGGTACTTGAAGGGAAACCAAGTTCAATTTACTGTTTTTCGATCGACTGATGCGACTTGATGCGCGATGGCCGTATAAATGTTTGGTGAAATCGACACCATTTTAGCGGGAATTCGATCATAAAGATGCGACACGTTCAGCCACAAAATTAAGGGAAAATGAAACGGAGAATAAAAACTCAACATTCTAAAATGGTTACAATGCATAGCTTGTGCTTTGTGAAGCAAAATTGCCACTCTTCTGATCTATCAATCGACTGACGCAACGTGATGTGTTGCGTGATGTGTTGCACGCGTTGATGTGTTGAGGAAGACTGGTAACGAGTAATGGCGGCCGAATATACGAGCATGCGATAAAACGAGTTGTAGTCGGTCTAATTCCTTTGAAATTACATCCAAAACGCTTTTGGAAGAAAGGAAACCTGGTTAAGATCAAAAGGAACAACCTTAAGTCATACATTTCAAGTTATTTATGTCCTAAAAATGATCTACCAGGTCGGTAAGAAGCAATGTTCGAACTCAGGTCGAAAACGAAATGATATTGCCCCCCTGGAAAGTGATTTTATGGTCCAACCCCCCTCCCTTCGGGAATTTCCTGGGCCTCTGACCCCCCACCCCCCTGGAATTTCCAATTCCCTCCGTGGTGGGGGTCTGGATATTTTCTGGAACTACACATTAGATTCTCATACAAACACTGTAATTTCTCACGCGTTTGCCTACTCATCAAGATGGCGTCGAAAACCGTGACAAGGTCTATTTGATGGGTTACCGAAAGTGATTTTCAAAACCAAAATTTTCGCTATGACAGCCTCAGAGTCTCTGAGGAATATGTTCACCTAGCACATGCTGAAGAAGGTCATTAAATAGAGCCCTGAGTTCCTACACAATCAGCTCATACTATTGATGACTTACTGATCTCAGGACCATAGTTCATTTTCTTGTCTTTCCAGCATGTTGATTCAAAGTCAAGAACAATCAAGTATGTAAAATATTGGCCTGTCATTGTTAAAAAAAGACAACATCAATAGAGAATTTTACAATATACAATTGTCAAAGATTTAATGACAGTATAGTAATCTGCAAGCCTTTTTTCACTTTATGATCTAATAATAATTGATTAATTATTTTCTTTAATTTGATCATTGATGAATATCTAGCATTTGCAGCTATTTGTAGATAGCAGAAAATCTAGTATTTAAAAAATACAAAGGAACAATGTATATATATATATATATATATATATATATATATATTGCATTATCGATGCAGATAATTTACATTGATTCGAGATTCAAATTTGAAGACAGCTAAAAGAAACTAAAAAGGTGTTAAGCTTACTAATAAATTCAGTGTGTAATATAATTATGTGCCTCTTCTCCAAATAAATTGGCCTGGATTTCTTACTTGGTTTTTTCTCTTTTCCTTGACCCTTAGATCGGCTCGTGGAGGATGAGGGCCTCTTCTTTACAAGACCTAAACATCTAAAAACGAGCAGGGCGGTAAAAAAAATCAATTGCGGCTGGTTTTGTAAATAATTTAAGACATGTTTCTCACAACGCTGCAAATGACCACCGACTATGACCGCTTGAGGGCGTCCTTACCTTGCTAATTCTTTCGCAGATACTGCGTTTGAAGATAATGGCCGTAGTGATGTATCGTTTCGAGACATATGTGAAAGAGAAGGCGTTAAAAGAAACGAGAAGCGGCAGTTATTTTTTAGAGAAGTTTCAGCTGGGTTTGCTGTGTTCAAAATTCGCGCATGCTAAGCATGCTTAGCATGCTCAGTATAAACTTGTTCCTAGTCCCTTTCGGCCGTACGCACTGGAACGGGGGCTGGAATTGGAAGGCGGGAACGCGAAAATTAAAAATTTCGAAAGCTAGCAACGGGTAAATTACACTGAAATTTTACCGTGTCATTTCACCAAGTCAGTTTACGCAGGACCGTAGATTCGGTCTCCAGCCACGGCTAGGCGCACGGTTTTATCAGCCACTTGTCAGTTGGATCTTGACTTTTACAGCCTGATTATTCATAAACAAGAGCCGGCTTCTGGCATAAACACGAACTTCTCCCCACTCCACCTCTAACAGGATTCAGGTACGATCTGGTTACTGCGAATAGATTTGGTGGTTTGTTGGGGGGAAGGAAACGATTATCTTAGTGAACGATATCGGATATCGATACATCTTCAACAAAATCAATGCCACTCGTTGATCGTGTAGTGGTTTTCAAGACCAAATTTCGGCATTGTAAGACAAAAATGGAAAGAGCCGAATGAAAAGAATGCTCATCTTTTGGTGGAAAAAGAAAAGCTTTTATGAAACAAATTTTGCCCTTGAGGACTTTGAACTTGTTTTCTTCACTGTGCAAAGTGCAAAGAATCGAGGGGGGAATAAAGAAATTCCAAATGGAGGCCGAGCCTAAAATGAAAGTCATCACTGTAAAATCCGAGTCACTCTTGTTATTCCCAACAGTGAAATGAGGTTCCTTTGTTAAAAAAGAAGCGAAAAGCTAAAAGAGTCACTTTTGACAGGCGCTAATGACAAGGGAGTATCAGACATTTCTTAGGTTATGAAAGAAATATTTCTAGATGACGTGGCGTGGAGGGACTTCTTTTTCTCCACCCCCCCCCCACCTCCCATCCACCCCCAAAAGAATCGCTCAACTCTCAGGCAAGTCATCTTCGTACTCTTCCAACGACTACATTTTCACTTCAAGTCCATAAAACCTTCTCTGCATTTATTCTCACATATTTTTTTTTAAGAAAAACTTAACAAATAACATTAGTTCACAGATAGAGTAGCCTGAATTTCAGACATACCTTCGAATCGAATGTTCCCTCAGAGACAGCGTCTCTGTCTGAAATTCAGGGTACGGATAGAGATTATATAGATATTTGCCTGTAAAATGGCTTAAAAGTTAGTTGATAATAATAGCTGCTGGGATTCCGAGTGTCTATAACAAAACAAAGTAAACTCAATCACATGCATTTTGCACTAATCCTGGCTCATCTGACGTTTAAACTGAAAAAATATATATAAAATGTAATATGTATTTTTTTGTAGAAAGAATCGAAAGTGTTTTAAGCTTTAACCTGTGTTCTCTGTCATAAAAAGTTTATGCGGACAAATGTGTTATAAGGCTGTTACCATCGGAGATTATGACATTTGAAAATGTTTCATTGCCTAAATTGGCCGGCCAATATCCCGGCAAATGAAATACGTAGTAGAAAAACACAAAATATTTAATACAAAAATTGAACATATACCACAGACAAAACATAACTTCTGTTACAATTATAATCAGAGTATATATTAAATGCAAGATAGACCTTAATTGTTTATTTTTTTTTTTCACCAAGAACTTTTACTAGAAGTTTTTACTGGTTTTTTAACATCTGAAAACACCATCAATTTGAGATCACGCCGTTTTCTTTTACCATTATTTTTCTTTTCTAAATACAAAGTTGGGACTGTAAGCACTCAGATTTAACCTCCCGTGCGTGACTACCCCCGCTTTTTACGGTTTTGTTTTGAAAAAACAAGGAATTAAAACTGTCATTGGTGTAAGGCCGCCCGTTGAGATTTGGTATTTACGGAAAGGAATATTATCGACAATCCCTCATACTTGAGTTTCAGCTATTTGTTGTGGCTAATAAACCTAGAAACAGTCTACAGGTGAAACCAGGTGAAACCTACCGGCATAGTTTTTTAATTTTATGCCACATCAACACCCCCCGCAAGCATTAATCCTTTTAATGTTAACCTAGTTAAAAATCACCTGTTATTAACATGAAAGACAACCTATGATTTTCAATTCCCTGTCATTTTAGGGCGCGGCACCGGCTTTTGACAGTTTGCCAGGACGCTAAACGACGGCAGGCGACTGAGAAACGTTATTGACTTTGTCTTCGATTCATTTACCGATAAGACTTCAGTATCAATGCTTCAGAAAAGCTGTACTCTACTGACCATCGTTTAAGCTAATATACGGCGAACAGTTCGACGTTGCTGGCACTTTCAATATGGCTATCGGATTTGGAATCGTTACAGTAGCATTTCTCGCCACATTTGCCAAATATTTCTCCAAGCGTTGGTTTATTTGGGTCATGGGAATATTAATTTCTGCCGAACTTGCCATGTTTCTCAACGCTGGAAATCAAAAGAAGAGCAGGGGAAGCGAGGAAAAAGTAGGCGGTGAAATCACACGTTCGGCGAAGAAAGAAGAATCTTCTGTGGCAAAAGGACAGGAAAAAATCGCTTAATTATGAGGAAAGCGCGCCCAGTAAAAAAGGGATAGTGAATAAACTCATTCATGATAGTAACGGAAAACTACTTTAACGAAGAGTACATTCAGAGACAAAAAGTTTTCAGTTGAGAAAAAGGAGGTCGTCATACACGAATTTCTTCGCTCTTTAGCACGAACTGTACCTAATTTTCACAACTTGGGTGTGACCTGTCAGATTTAAGATGAGAATTGTCAGGACTAAACAACCGATGTCTACTTAAGTGCATGTTACATTCAGTTTCGGGGTAAATTTTAAATAATGTTAGAATACAGGGTTACAAGAACCACTTTTGAAATCACTTTTCTTGTCAAGAGTTTCATAGCATTGAAAACATTTCTGCTAAATGATTAATTAATGAGAAATCACTGCTTATATTGCAAGTGTAACTGATTTTAATCAGATGCGTTATTCGAAAACAACTGCTCGAAGGTCATGAAGGATCCTGGGGAACAAGCTTACTGAAAAATGAATAACGAGGAATGCACGGCTAGTAAAAGATGGAAAGTGAACAAAGGGATTTCACAATGATAGTACTGACCAAAAACCACTTTAACGAAGCATCCATAAATGTTTTGCTGAAGATTTTTCAGTAAAGAAAAAGGAGGTCATCATACTC